CTTCCTCCCCCTTCTCTCTCTCTCTCTCATCTGTCCCTTTCATTAAACTAATCCCAGGTTCACACCCAAAAATTATATCCTGTATTACTCAATGTTATTCATTGTCGCAAATCTCTCTCTCTCCACATCCTCCACCACCATAACACAGCCTACACTTATATACGATAATCAGCGAGGTAATTCCTTCGTTACTCACATTAACTACCCGTCTCGCTCTGCTGGTTCCGTTAACTATGTCTAGCAGCAACTGTGTTTACCGTGTATATGTGTGACATCAGTGGAGACATATGGAGTGCTTCCCTTACCGATAACACGACTTGGCGAGTTATGGAAACGTTAATATTAAAGACTGTCGAAACTACATCAATAATGTTAGGCATTCATTACGCCTGGCAACTTACACAGAGTCCAACACATCAATTGCCAAGTTATACATTCAGGATCAACATAGAACGTCCCCCGAGGTGTACAATAAACGAAATAAAATACAATAATCATACAATAAACGAAATAAACGTACAATAAATGAAATAAATGAACAATAAACGAAACAAACGTTCAATAAATGAAATAAATGCAAAATAAACGAAATAAACGTTCAATAAACGAAATAAACGTTCAATAAATGAAATAAACGTACAATAAACGAAATAAACGTACAATAAACGAAATAAACGTACAATAAACTAAATAAATGTACAATAAACGAAATAAACGTACAATAAACGGAATAAACGTATAATAAACGAAATAAACGTACAATAAACGAAATAAACGTACAATAAACGAAATAAACGTACAATAAATGAAATAAATGCACAATAAACGAAATAATCGTTCAATAAACGAAATATACGTACAATAAACGCAGCGTCTCAAATGCCACGACCTGACTATACGGCTAATATCATATTACTCTAATCGAAGTAATCAATGTTCTGCGGAGGAAATCGCAATTCCTCTCAAGAAAAAGGTAGATACATTACCAGAACGACAGCAACGTGCACTAAGCCGTGTCATGAATAGACTTGCGTCTGAAATTATTGAGTGCCTAGAATGGGATCGAACCCGCATATTTGGCTTTCCCAAGGACACACACCACCTTGTCGGTACGGGTTCAATCCCATTGTATAGCACCATAAGATGCATAAGCACGCATTGTGAGAGATCCTAGATATTTGGAAGCGAACTTGAACAAAATTCACCTTATGTAAGAGATATTTGGATAAGATCTGACTGGCTGAAGGCGTGTTTACAGTGAGTCAATAGACGGCAGCAAGTTCTTTGGCGAGTCACTGGAGGGCAGCAGGTTAATGTTGAGTTAATGGAGGGCAGCAAGTTCATGAACTTGCGAAGATCTCCCAGCTCATGTATTAATCCTTATGTAATTCACCATTATTCAAAGTGTCAGACAAGCATGCCTCTAGCACAACCCAACTCCGTTGCATGAAGCTGTCTCCAACCACTTTGGACTGGACGGTAGAGCAACGGTCTCGCGTCATGCAGGTCGGCGTGCAATTCCCGACCGTCCTAAAGTGGTTGGGCACCATTCCTTTCCCCCCGTCAAATCCCACAACCTTATCCTGACCTCTTCCCAGTGCTATATAGTCGTAATGGTTTATCACTGTCTCCTGTTAGTTCCATTCCGTTCCCTTCCATAAAACAGTCGCTACATATTGATATCTAGAGATATCTCCTAATCGCGCGCCACGAATCTCAACTTTGATAACAGGTAAATGTTATTTTATCTCGAATTAAACACGCATATTCGTGTTATGGATAACTTAGTGCCCGTGAATCAGGATAAAACTTCAGCTCAAAGTAGAATTTAACTTCCAATGAACCCGGAATTTATTTCTGATTGTACCCTACTGTAAACTCCCGTTCGGGCGAGAATTTATTGATCTGTAACTTAGGTTCCTCTGAACCTGAATTCTAACTCCCATTGTGCTTGGACGTTAATTCCTGGTGATGGTGGTAGTAGTGGTGGTAGTCGTGGTGAGGGGAAGAGGGGGTGATTGTGATTGTGGAGGGGTGACGGTGTTGAAGGGGGATGTTGTGGCTGTAGAAGGGTGATGATTGTGGTGGGTGTAGAGGGGGTGGTGATGGTGGTAGCTGAGAAGGGGGTGGTGATGATGGTGCTTGTAGAGCGGGGGGGGGGGGGTGATGGTGGTAGCTGAAAAGGTGGTGGTGATGGTGGTAGCTGAAAAGGTGGTGGTGATGGTGGTAGCTGAAAAGATGGTGGTGATGGTGGTAGCTGAAAAGGTGGTGGTGATGGTGGTAGCTGAAAAGGTGGTGGTGATGGTGGTAGCTGAAAAGGGGGGGTGGTGATGGTGGTAGCTGAAAAGGGGGGTGGTGATGGTGGTAGCTGAAAAGGGGTGGTGATGGTGGTAGCTGAAAAAGGGGGTGGTGATGGTGGTAGCTGGAAAGGGGGGTGGTGATGGTGGTAGCTGTAGAGGGGTGGCTTATATAACCATGCCACTACCAGTGACCTGCGCCAGGATTCACCAAACTGTTACATATAAGAACTAGCAAAACTTGAACATTTTCTCAATCAATGGCGGCTTTGTTGACATCTATTAAACAGTTTACCAGCATCGTAACTTCCAAATCAACAAATATTATTACTATAAACAGCCTCCTATAGTGCTACAGAGCTCATACACTATTTAATAAATGGAAACAAAACCTCTAAAAACTGAGAAAAGATGTACAGGTTTCGTAAATACTATCGTGAATCCGGCCCCGCCTCGTACTAACGTCTCCTGGGGCCAGATTCACGAAGCTGCTACGCAAGTACTTACGAACGTGTACATCTTTCCTCAATCATTGACGGCTTTGGTTACGTTTATTAAACAGTTTACAAGCATGAAAACTTGCCAATCAACTGTTGTTATTGTTATAAACAGCCTCCTGGTGCTTCGGAGCTCATTAACTGTTTAATAATTGGAAACAAAGCCGCCAAAGATTGAGACAAGATGTACAGGTTCGTAAGTGCTTGCGTAACTGCTTCGTGAATCTGGCCCCAGAGTAATTACCACCCAACTAATGACTCTAAACACGAACACACATCAGTGTAACTTTTCCCCTTTGGTTGCCATTCTTAAAATCCTCACATTTGGCGAGTTTGTTTAAGTTTGCGTGAGTTGGACTCGTAAGTTTAAGTCCAGACACAGGAACTTGGACAAGTCCATTAGGTGTTACGGGATTGGTTTAAGTCCGGGAGTCTGGGCACGTTTGGGTGTAGAGTAGCAGGTTATAGAGTTATATCTGTGGGGCGCTGCTCGAAGCTTACTCCAATGTTTATTTTTTCAACGTGAGCTGAAGGTGTAATATTTTTTGGGGGAGGTTTACCTAAATGTTGTGTGTTTATATATAGTAGAAGGGGGGAAGCCGGTGCTGCCCGGGTATATATCTTGTATATTTCCCCATCTATCCATCTATCTCTATTAATTTATCTGTCTATTGCTATTTATCCCTCTGCCCATCAATCCATCTATCCGTCTATTTCTCCCCCTATTCATTCATTCGTCCATCTATACATATCTTTATCCATATATCTATGCATCCATTCTTCTATCCATGCATCTATTTATCCATCGCTTATCCATTAATCAACCCATCCATCTACCAATCTATCCATCCATATATCCATTTATTTATCCACCTATGTATCCATCTATCTTTGTCTATCAATCTGTGCATCCATTTATCCATCCATGTGCCTGTACATCTATCCATACTGCATGTACATCTATCCATCTATCATTAAACTTGCAATTTCAACTGTGGGCAACATATGAATAGCAACAAATTTATATTAATTTTCTCCGAGATCATTGAATTGTTTATAATACTTTGAGAAAATATTTCTATTTTGAAATGTTGGTTTTCCAAAATATTTAGCTGTGCAGACGGCGAACAGTACCATAGACCGCCGTGGGGGTTTGAATGTAGCCGTGCCACGCCGTGCTCTTATCAATTGTGGCGATTCCCTACCAACCTATGGCGGCGAGAAACAATGGGCAGGGTTTCTTTCACCCTATGCCCCCTGTTACCTAGCAGTAAAATAGGTACCTGGGTGTTAGTCAGCTGTCACGGGCTGCTTCCTGGGGGGTGGAGGCCTGGTCGAGGACAGGGCCGCGGGGACACTAAAAAACCCCGAAATCATCTCAAGATAACCTCAAGAAAACCTATGTTGGTCCCATACACCCCAAAGGCTTTCTCTCTCTATTTTGGTAAAACTATAGCTGGAAATTATTAAAAAAAAAAGATACGTAAGGTCAGAAGGTTTAACTTTTTTCGTAGATAGATGTTGTGGCAACTTTGCCGCACATCAACAATTAAAGTTACTGCAGTGGCAAATGGAAAGTTGCCAGAATTGCCCACACATTACAAATACTGTATACATGTAATAAACTGTTTACTGATTATGTACATATCAACTTCTCATCCCTCTCATTTCTATCTGTCACCACCCTAGTCTCCACTTAACACAAACCAACAACAATTCAAGCCATCAACTTACCCCCTGACCATCATTTTCACTGAATTGCCAATATTGACATTTCGACAACCGTCTCACATAGCCAGAAGTTGAAGCGGTTTGTCGAGCGAAATGGTGATAACTTAATTGCTTGCCGGTCAGCTCAAGCACCAGTGGAATACGGACCATCCACTTTGGACTGAACAAGCACAACATTGCTATGTAAACACACCGTCTATGTCGCTGGCCGGTCGGCCGAGCGGACAGCACACTGGTCTTGTGATCCTGGGTTCGATCCCGGACACCGGAGAGAAACAATGGGCAGAGTTTCTTTCACCCTATGCCCGTGTTACCTAGCGGTAAAATAGGTATCTGGGTGTTAGTCAGCTGTCACGGGCTGCTTTCTGAGGGTGGAGGCCTGGTCGAGGACCGGGCCGCGGGGACACTAAAGCTCCGAAATCATCTCAAGATAACCTCAAGATAAAATGTAACCTTACAGATCAATTATACTTACAGCTCTGACACAGAACACTCATCTGAAAAAGAAAAAGAAATTTATAATTAGAAATGAGCATAATAATTACTCTTTTGGCAAATAATTGCATAATAATATGTACACCATAAAAAAAATGGGGGTGGTAGGAGAAGCGAACAGTCATACGTATTCAAAATAACAAGTTTTCTCAGAATGCTCTGTGTTCCCTTCTCTGAGGCTGTGGGTCCCTATAATTGCACCAGAGGTGGTACCCCCCATAATTTTTTTTTAGAAAAGATCTAATTTATAAGAGAAAAGAAAACACGGCTGGTTTCTGAGCTGATGGACTTGTGTTATGAGGAAAGACTACGAGAACTGGCCCTCCTCGTATTGGGGGAGACGAGAGAAAGAGGGAAACATAGTAACGACATGGCAGATTCTAAGCGGAATTGAAAAAGTAGTCAAGGCAGCATTGCACTAGTCTAGGAACAATAGAACGTGAGGTCATATATGGAAGTTGGAGAAACAAAGGAGTTAAAGAATGATTGGAAGGCAGGGCGAACGAGCTAGGCTCATAGGAGCTGCCTCGTATGGGCCAATAGGCCTTCTGCAGTTACCTTTGTTCTTATGTTCCTAAAAGCACATCTAGGTAAGTACACATACACTGAACTAAGAGGTATGAATAACGAATAACAAATGGAATTAAAAATCACGTCACTGGAGGACAGAAGAATTAGACGAGACATGATCACAAGGTGAAAAATATCCTAGGGAACATTCAACAACATTTACAGAATAAAATTGTCCGTTAAGCACTATACGATAGTCACACACAATATATAGTGTAGATATGACCGAGCCTGTCTCGAAAACTATTACACAGTACAAGCTTTAAAACCTTCGCATGTACAATTAGACAAGTACAATTTAATAAGCACACATGCACACATGACTGGACCCCATGTTACATGTTAATCCGTTCAAGGTTAGGGTAATCCTCCTGATGCAGGAACGAGGGCTGTACTGGTTGGCATGCAAGGTAGCATATTCATAATTTGATTGGAACACAACTCTAACTCATGTTAATGCTAATGCATAAGGATAGAAGGATAAGGATAGGAGTTTAATACCTTTAAAAGGTATTTGAGGGGTGATTAGGACAAGAGACTGTCCAGAGAGACTACTACTTTTATCATAAGTAGTTGTAGCAATATTAGTGATAGCAGTACTAGTAATAGTAACAGTATTAACTAAAAGTAGAAATAGGATTATGCTTCACATTAAAGTAGATTTTTTTTGGGCACTCTAAGCCAGAATGGAGAGCAAGGAGAGAGCCTTCTGTTGTCTATCATCATATACATCTATTTAATAATTATCTGAAGCTGTGCAAAAAGAGATTATTTCCAGAAAGCAACCTTAGAACAGACAGAACAATTTACTGTTATCTGCTCGAATTCAAAAACTCCAATGTGCTGCCGTGCGTGCCTCTTGAGACACAGTGCTAGAGGCACATAGGTGCTCGAGACAAAGTGCTAGAGGCACATAGGTGCTCGAGAGACAGTGCTAGAGATACATAGGTGCTCGAGACACAGTGCTAGAGGCACATAGGTGCCCGGCACATGTGGTGCAGTGACAAGCACGCGTTTGTTTTAAGGCAAACACGACGCTAAACGAACTTCAACAATATCGTTTGCCAGAGTAAAACATTTTGAGAGAAATAATTCCTTGTTCACACTCGGTTGACCAGAAGGTAACTTTTATGTTCCGTCACAAAGAGAAGGAGAGGGAAGGGAGAGAGGGAGAGAGAGGGAGAGAAGGCTTGTGTGCAGCAGAGACACCTCGTCTGTATTCTCTGTAAATCAAATAGACAGAGAAAAGCTGCAAAAAAATAGACAGAACTTCAATGAACAGAGACAGCGACAAATCACTACACAGCCAGGCAAAACGGGACACAGAGCATCCATATGACGAGAGAGGTAGAAGCCAAATCCATTATAGAGACACAGAGACACACAGATGCATAAGGAAGCGACAAGGAAGGCTACAGACGTAATGCCGAACAGAGAAGATTAAAGGAACAAATCCACAAGGGCCGTGACGAGGATTCGAACCTGCGTCCGTAGTTAGAGAAGGCTAGTGTCCCTCCTCCATTACACAGACATTAAAGCTGGTGAAAGCTATCCTTAGCTGACCTTTTCCCCTCCCTAAAGGCTTTAACCAATGCCAACGTTGACCAAAACTAAGCTTTATGTACTCGTTGAAGTGAAAAAATAATCAGGAGAAAACGCCAAACCAATACGCCTATACAGCACTGGGAAAGGGTTCAGGATAAGGATTTGGAATGGGACGGGGGGAATGGAATGGTACCCAACCACTTTAGGACGGTCGGGGATTGAACGCCGACTTGCATGAAGCGAGGCTGTCGCCCTACCCTCCAGTCCAAGTGGTTGGGCTTGGGAAATGAGGGTGGAAGAGGAACTGTCTGTCTGTCTGTACGCACGTAATTGTGTTTGCGGGGGTTGAGCTCTGGCTCTTTGATCCCGCCTCTCAACTGTCAATCAACTGCGATAATCAACTGGTGTACAGATTCCTGAGCCAACTGGGCTCTATATCTGTCTGTCTGTCTGTCTCTGTCTGTCTCTGTCTGTCTCTGTCTCGTCAGCCTTGAGACGGTAGCACTAGAGTATACTGTCTTTTAAAAGTCCGACGAGTGTCTTCGAGGTCGCCTTTGTCATCCGGAGCGCTGCTCGAGATGTTTACAATTGGTTGGTGAAGTGTTTGTGTGGGGTCACTTAATGCTTTTATTATCCTTTGGCCTCTTAAGTTGCTGTTGGGTACTGCTGCTGTATGATCCCCTGCTGTGCTGGGGAGTCGAACCCTGGAAACACAAACCGGAACTGTTTCTATTTTCCGCTTGTTACAACTTGTAATAAAGTTGTTACATCTTGGCTTAACGTGTTTATGACGTATTAGAACGTTGTTACAACTTGTTATATTTGGTTGTTAATAACTGGTTAGGTGTTAAAACTTGTTCAAACGTTGTACCAACGTCGTAGTTTCGGTGTGTGTTTGGCGGGAGGAAATTGAGGTTTTAAGACGGCCATTAAACGTTGTCCCATTCGTCTGTATTATTATATGTTTGGGAGGCTGGCGTCTTGTGGAAATTGTGGTACAATGATATGCTCGCTCGCTCGCTCTCGCTCTCTCTCTCTCTCTCTCTCTCTCTCTCTCTCTCTCTCTCTCTCTCTCTCTCTCTCTCTCATTATCATTCGTAACTCTGAACTCTCTGCGGATTTCAGGGTAAGGTTTAATTCATCCACTTTCCCCCGTCCTTCTCCAACCACTTGGGCTGGACGGTAGAGCGACGGTCTCGCTTCATGCAGGTCGGCGTTCAATCCCCGCCCGTCCACAAGTGGTTGGGCACTATTCCTCCCCTCCCCCCCTCTTTCCCTCTCTTCACCATTTTTCTCCATCTCCCCCCCCCCCCCACTATTCATTATCTCCCACTATTGTCTCATCAAAATAAAATGCAGCCATGATGAAGTGTTGACGTGTTTGGGAACGAACTCATCACCTCCACCAGTTCTCTCATGTCATTTTTGCCTGTGGGTGTTTTTGCGTCAAATAGGTTTGGCTAACCTAGGGGGTTCTGACGGCTGAGTGAGCAGCGCTCGGGATTCGTAGTCCTAAGATTCCGGGTTCGATCCCCGGTGGAGACGGAACCAAACGGGCATGAGTTTCTTTCACCCTGATGCACTTGTTCACCTAGCGGTAAATAGGTACCGGGGAGTTAGACAGCTGCTACGGGCTGCTTCCTGGGGGATGTGTAACAAAAAGGAGGCCTGGTCGAGGTTATCTTGAGATGATTTCGGGGCTTTAGTGTCCCCGCGGCCCGGTCCTCGACCAGGCCTCCATCCCCAGGAAGCAGCCCATGACAGCTGACTAACACCCAGGTACCTATTTTACTGCTAGGTAACAGGGGGATAGGGTGAAAGAAACTCTGCCCATTGTTTCTCACCGGCGCTCGGGATCGAACCCAGAACCACAGGATCACAAGTCCAGCGTGCTGTCCGCTCGGCCGACCGGCTCCCGTAGAAGTGCATCTTAGCACCACAGATTTTCACTACATTTAGTCTAAGACATGAACGAAGCCTTTAGGCAGGGAAGGGAACTTTGAGGAGAAAGCGCTAAGCCATTACGACTATATAGAAGGGATCAGGATAAGGATCTGGGATGGGACGGGGGGGAAAGGAATGGTGCCCAACCACTTATTGGACGGTCGGGGATTGAACGCCGACCTGCATGAAGCGAGACCGTCGCTCTACCGTCCAGCCCAAGTGGTTGGGCGAAGCCTTTAGGAGAAAAATGTTATAATAATGAGGTCCATTCCCTAGATATTGTTATCAGTAAGGAACAAAAATGTCCAGAAACGAACAAAAATGTCCATTAATGAACAAAAATGTCCATTAATGAACAAAAATGTCCATTAATGAACAAAAATGCTTACAGCCGATCACATACAAAACGCCCCAAAATTTATGACCAGTAAATGCTACCATTCACTATAAATTTACGAGAAACATAACTCTACCTTCAGATCAACAGCGCATATACCGATAAACATTATCATAGTGATCTAAACATATTTTAACTATTTTAACATCAGTTCCCAGTAACTAATATCTGCTGATATTAAAAAGATATCAGTCTACAATGGACTTGAGAATGGTCCAGGACGGACCGAAACGTCGTCGTCCCTTCACTTTCTAGTGTGTGGTCTGGTCCACAGAACATCAAATCTATCAACATTTCTCAAGTGAATGTTGTCTTAAGGGTGAAAATATGGTTAGTAATGCAGGTGTTTGGGCGTTCTAAACACCTGTAGTGTGAAATCAGGTTAATAGCGAGTTCACGGAAGTGCGTTTTAACACCGGTCCGCGAGGCACCGCGATGTTTAGATGTGTTATAACTTGCCGTAATGTAGGGAAAGCATTTAGATAGTTAGATATATTTTAGATATCATTAGATAGATTAGATATCGGGCAAAAATTAGCATGGCGG